GCGCCGGTGGGGCGGGGGGGAAGAGCGCGGCCGAGTCGGAGTGTGTGAGTGAGGGGCTCTGAGCGGCCTCGGGGGCACCGGGGCGGGGACAGGCGGCTCTGCGGTCTGAGCGGGGCCGGGGGGAAGGCGGGGGGCCTGGGGACAGTGAGGACCCAGGGCAGGGAGGGGTCTGAGGGGTCTCGGGGGAGGTTGGGGACCCTGGGGAAAGGAGGGAGGGAGCTGAGGGATGTTTTGATGTCTGTGGGATTGGGACTCTGAGAGCAGGGTGAGGGCTGAGAGGGGTTTTGGTGTCCTGAGGATGGGAGGGTTGGGGGCTCTGGTGTCGGRGGGGCATGGGGAAGTTGGAGGACTGGTATTAAGACCTACAGGGTGGGGGGACACTGGGGACAAAGTGMGRGGTGGAGAGCTGAGGGAGCACCAGGAATTGGGGGAACTGGGCTGAAGCCCCCCATAGTGTGTGTGATGGAGCAGGGCTGAGACAGCCCCGGGTGGGGTGAGCTCTGCAGCCCCCCAGAACAGGCAGGGGTTTCGTGTGGCTGGATCCCCCCAGTCTTGAGTTCCTGTTCCTGGGGTCCTGTCCCTCCTTCCTGGGGTCCCTGAAACAGGGTCAGGTGGGTGGGTGCTGCTGTTTCCCCCCTCCCCGTGCAGTTTTGCTCTTGTAGTTCACATGCAGGTGCAGTTTTCTCCTGATTTGGGTTCTAATGCTGGTTATTTCCAGCTCTTTCCAGTTTTAGGTTTCAGGGCCGGTTATTTCCAGCACCCCCTGACTCCCAGTGTGTTTTTTGCTGGTGGTTTTAGGTTTATCTTGTCACCTTGGTTAAGTTTTTTGTGCTGTGAGGTTTTTCCTGTACGCTTGGGTTGATCTTTTCCTTTATTCCCGATCTGGAATAAAGACCAAGATTTTGTTTGGATTGGAAGGAACGTTAAAACTCATCCAGTTCCATCCCCTGCCGTGAGCAGGGACACCTTCCATGATCTCAGGGTGCTCCAAGTTCCATCCAATCTGGCCTTGGACACTTCCAGAGATGGGGCAGCCACAGCTTTTCTGGGCAATAATTTTACTGAGCAGATTTTTTTTCCTGTTCTGAGCTATTCCCTTCATCCAGCCCCTTCCCTGAGCTGAGTCCTGCTCAGCATTTCTTTGTTATTCCCTGTTCTTGTCCTTTCCCTGGCTCTTGGTTGGCGAGGGAGGGATCCTGGCTCCCTTGTCACTGTCACTCTGTTCCCTGGAGACCCCCAGCACTGACAGACTGTGCTCTGCTCTCAATGTTCCCCTGCTGTAATTGCTCTAGAGGGTTCTTGGAGAAAGGCTCTGGGAGGCTGGAATTTGTTTCTGCTTGATCACTGGAGCTGAACTTCCAAGGGTGGCTGCAGTAGGTTCAGGGCCAGACCTTGCTGTCGTTGTCTGGGGTCACAGAACGCTGGAAAAATGGACATTAGGACAAGAWAGTTGCTGTTAGGAAAAGGTATTAGATACTAAGAAAGCATTTTTTTAGGGRAAATTYCTTCRTGGAAGGGRYGGTCAGGCACTGGCACAGGCTGCCCAGGGAGTGGTGGGATTTCCATCCCTGGAAGTGTACAAAAATTGTGGATGTGGCTTTTGGGGACRTGAATTAGTGGTGACGTGGGGCTGGTGTTCGCTGAAAGTTGGACTTGATCTTAAAGATTTTTTCCAATCTAAACAATTCCATGTTTCTGTGGTTTTATGAGTCCATGTTGCTGGGATCTGGCTGCTGCCCTCCCCTTCTCTAACTCCTCTTTCTCTTCTCTCTCTCTGCAGGAAAGTGAGGATGGCATCGAAGGAGATGGTGAGTGATGGCTCTTGGGCAGGATTGTATGCAAAAAAAAAGTGAAAACCAGGCAAAATGGATTTTCCTACAATCGTGTGGTTGTTGCCATCCCAAATATTCACTTGTAACAGCAGGCAAACATGGGGTGCAGGGGCAGCATGCCCCAAACTCACCCCAGCTCCTTCCTGAGCTGTGTTATTGATTTGGAATGGTGCTGGAAATCATTGGAAGGGGTTTGGTCGCATGGGAGAGGAGCCATGTCCAGCCCTGCCCTGACCCCACCTCCTTTCCCTCTCCACAGCCGTGCTCTCTGACTATGAAAGCGCCGAAGACTCGGAGGTAAGRGCAGGCTCTGTCCTGATTCTCGTGGAATTTCAGCACAAACCCAGTTTGTGTCCTTGGATCTCTTCCACTGTCCCATGTGTCTCCTGAGGAAAGGGCCTGTCTCAGCCCCTGGCACTGGGACAGTGTCACTGGGCTGCTGGGGAGGGTGTAGGGCCAGTGTGTGCCAGGGAAAACCCTYCTGGCTCCTCAYACTGGGAACGTTTGGGATTTGCCATGGCCAAGAAGGGTGTGGGAGGAATGTGGGATCTCGCTGGGTTTTAATTAGYTGGAATTAAAAAGCAAAGTGGTGGTTGGGAGCATCCCAGGAGCTTCCCTCTGTTCTGAGGGAGCAGCCAGAGGGGAGGATGCACCTTGGGAGTTGTAGGGTGCTGAGGGAATCCCATCCCACCCATGCCTGGGGCTGAAGGTTCCCCTGGATTTTTAGTTCAGAACTCCMAAAGTTTGAGATTTCCAGGGAGTTTAGAGAACTTCTGGTCTCTGAGGATTATAGTGAAGGCTTTGCAAGGAAAACCCATCTCTGTTTTGAGGGAATCTTGAGGGAAACAGTGGCWAGAGAACAYAGRAACCACCAGGCAGAGGAAAYCCAAGSTGTTTATATGGGAATTAATCTCAGTTTGGGAATTAATCCATGCTGTTAACAAGAAAAGAGCACAGCAGGCTGCAGAGATGACAGGGCARCTCCCGGAGCTTTTCCAGCCTGGAATCCCACGTGGAGGCTCCCTGTGGCAGTGGTGTTGTTGCATCACTGCCGTGCCAGGATGACTCTGTTCCTGTACCTAAAAATAATGCCCAGCCTGGGCTTCCCCGGCGTAAACACCGGGAGCAGCCGATGTGCAAAGGCTGTGTTGAAAGAGGAAAATGGAGCAGGGTTTGGTTAATCACCCCGAGCTATTTTTAGTTCGGCTCCAGCCTCCGGAGGCTCCTGGGGGTGAAACCAGGTCATGCTCCTGAGCTGAGTGAGTCAGCTGAGGAACTCCAGGGAATTTGGAAACGTGGCCCTGGCTGGATCYGGGCCCTCGGTGTGGAAGGAAGGGCCTGTAATCAGCAGTCTCCCCAGGCTGCAGGAGCCTTTTTGGAATAGTGGGATGCTGCATCTTTRTGGGGCAGCTGATCCCAGTTCTATTCCAGAAAGCCTGTTGGACCCTCCGTCTTTTGGAAGAAGCTCAGTTTGACCTTTGCTTTTCCTGCAAAAATACAGGGATAGGAAGAATTTTAGGAGCTAATCCTCTGCTTTGGAAGAGTCATGTCTAACAGCTGGAACAGGGATGTAACTCCAGAACTGAGGGAATTCCTGGTCGTTCTGTTGCTGGATCTAACTCCAGATTTGGGAGAAGTCTTGGGGGATCTGTTGCTGGATTTGGGAGAAGTCCTGGGGGATCTGTTGCCGAATCTAACTCCAAATTTGGAGGAAGTTCTGGGGGATCTGCTGCTGGATCTAACCCCAAATTTGGGAAGATTCCTGGCAGATTTATTGCTAATGGAGCATATTTGATTCACTGGGTGTCTCCCAGGCAGAAGAAGAGGATTACAGCGAGGAAGAAAGCTCCAAGGTGGAGCTGAAGCAGGACAGCAACGATTCCTGCGAGTCAGCGGCCAGAGGGGAGAAGGGGAATGAGAAGGCGGATCCCAAAGGAGCCGTGACGGGCGAGCGGCAGAGCGGGGACGGGCAGGTGGGTGTCCCACGGCTCCAGGCTGGGGGCTGGCAGCAGGACTGCTGCAGTGGTGAGAGCTTGCTGGTTCTGACAGGAGAGCACGGAGCCTGTGGAGAAGAAAGTCGGGAAGAAGGTTCCCAAGCACCTGGACGACGATGAGGATCGGAAGAACCCCGCGTACATCCCGCGCAAGGGGCTCTTCTTCGAGCACGACCTCCGAGGGCAGACGCAGGAGGAGGAGGTCAGGTATGTGAGTGTCCCCTTGGGAGGGACAGGCCAGCTTCCAGAACAGCTTCCAGGCCAGCTTCCAGTCCAGCCTTTGGCAGCAAGGCTCCTTGCTTCAGTGGGATGCATAAGGAAGGTTTGTGCCTGTGTTACCTGCTTTGTGTCCTGCCAGGACACTTCAGCTCTTTGTTTTGAATGAGAGATGCCAAAAAACCCGCAAAAAAGAGCCTCATGCCAGGCAGCAGTGACTCTTCCAGCTGCGTTTCCCAAATACCCTGGGTCACCAGCAGCTGCTGGGCAGGAGGAGAGGGAGGAAGGAGAGRTGCCCTCTCCTGTGCATTCCCTGCCCCAGGAATGCTTGGGCTCTGTGTGTCAGGCTGCTCGAAGCTGCCACATCTTGATTTTACAGCTCCTTACTCGTCCCTGTGTCCTTGTTCCAGGCCAAAGGGTCGTCAGCGGAAGCTGTGGAAGGACGAGGGGCGCTGGGAACACGACAAATTCCGGGAGGACGAGCAGGCCCCCAARACCAGGCAGGAGCTGATCGCGCTGTACGGGTACGACATCCGCTCAGCCCACAACCCCGAYGACATCAAACCCCGCAGGATGCGCAAGCCACGGTGAGCCCCAGAGTCACACCAGGGATTGTGCCGGGGAGGGGGGCCAGGTCTGGAGCTCCAAAGTGGGGACATTGTTCCTGGGATTTCTAGATGTGCATCCCAGGGAGGGGTTCCTTGGCAATTCCTCCTACCCATGGGTTTCTTTCTARGGAATTGTTCTGTTTTTCTCCCCCAGGTTTGGCAGTCCCCCTCAGCGAGACCCCAACTGGTCCAATGAGAGACCCCCCAAGCCCCCGAGGCACCAGGGTGCCAAGAGCCCCTCAGCCCCACCACGCTCCTTCAACAACCGCAGCTCTGCCGGCACCGGCAGGATGCCCCCGGCCAGGAACTACCCCAGGATGGGGGGCTACAAGGAGACCCGTCCTGGCTACCGAGCTTCAGAATCAACTGTCCCTCACCGGAATGGGGAACAAGCCAAACAGGAAAGCAGCTACCGTGGGAAGCGTGCAGAACAGAGCCCRTCGAGGGACACGTCCCCCGAGCTGGAGGTGACACACATCCACGGCAGCCCTGGGAAGGAGGAGGGGGCTCTGGAAAACCAAGCCACAGCTGCTGACTCAGCACAGCCACCACCAGACAGACCAGTGGAGAAGAAATCTTATTCCCGGGCAAGAAGGACCAGAGTCAAGGCTGGGGAGGCGGGGAAGCTGGCAGAGGATGTGCCCGCTTCYGAGGGGCTGGCTCCCGTGATTCCAAAACCCACACCAGCCGAGACCTCCCCACCTCCAACCAAGAGCAGCTGGGAGTCACAAGTGGAATCCAGCGTAGATGGAGTTGAGCAGGAGATGACCCAGATGAACCTGACGGAGCAAAACTGGAGCCCGGGGCAGTCCCAGTTCATCCCGCCCCGGGAGCTGAGGGGTAAGTGGGAGCAACCTGCAGGTTTTCCAGCAGCTCAGTGCCATCCTGGTCTGTGCAGTTGGTCAGAGCTGAGTTGTCTCTGCCTGAGCTCTGTCCCAGGGCAGGTGCAGAGTGGTGGTTCCTGCTGAGAAAGTGGAGTATGGGTACAAGAGCAGAGAAAAACGGGAAATTAAACATTTCTGTGTAGGTGAATGGAATTAGGACTAGGACGGGATGGAAGGGGAGATCCTTTCCCTGTGGTGTGMATCACAGTGAGACCGACCCCTGCTGCAGGAGAGCATGAGATAAGGATCAATAATTGGGCTCTGTGGTGTCCCGTTTGGAGCAGGAAGGAAGTTTTCCCTGTTTATCTGCTCATTTCCTGGCACTGGAATTTGATTSCCTGTAGCCAAAGCCTGGCTGAGATTGGCAAATCCCTTTGTGCCTGGAAAGAGGGAGGAACATGGGACAGAGTTACCCCAGTGCCAGCTGAGGACAGTTCCAGTTGTGCATCCACAGAGAGGTCATCCAGGTATAATTATCCCTTTGCAGAATTAGTTTGTTCTGGGAAGTGATAGAATGYTTCCCAAGGGGAGTAAAACTGGAGCAAGGAGAAGGAAGCAACTTGCTGCTTTCATAAGAGTCTGTGAGGTTGAGGTCATGAAACCAGAAGTCGTTTGGTACTGGTAGGACTGGGAAGTCTGTGTGAACAGACYCTTGGACAGGCTGGAAACGTGACAGTGGGATGAGAGTTCAAAAATGCTGAGTTTGTCTATTTGGAGGTTGGTTTTTTTTTAATGCGCAAAAATGGAGCAGCTYCACAAATTTCCCGCAGGCCAGCTCTTGGCTGCAGGTACAAGATCGTGTTCTGCTGTGAGAAGGATGATGACTCTGCTGTCCCTTTTTAGTCCCTAGCAGAGGAGGGAGGAGTTAATTCTGGGAAGCATTTGGCTCCCATCAGTCCATTCTGTATCCCTCTACCTGTGTTTGCTCTATCCATGAGCACTTCCAGTGTTTGTTTTATCCATTTTCACGTCCTTGGAATCACCTGTGATGACCTTGGCACCATGGTTTTAAGCTATGGTTTAAAATTCACTTTGCTGTGAATTCACTGTGCTGTTTGAATCCAAAGGAGCCCTCGATAAAAGTATTAACACCCTGCAGAGGGTTTAAACTGCAGCTTCAGATCCCACGTGGATCCTTGATCCACCCAGAAAAGATCCTTGTCTCAGCAGACAAAGCTCAGAGCAGGACTTGAGTTCCAAGCTGGGGATTTAGTTTTGCAGCAGGATTTAGGTGTTGCTGAGCTTTGCAGTAACAAAACAGCCTCTAATTTGTCCCAAAACATTTAAAACCCTCACTGGGGCGACGAAGTCTGAAGGTTCCCTATCATGGGAGCCAGAACTGAGCCACAGCCACGCCCCCGGGCGAGGCGGCTCCGGCCTGGGAAGCAGCACAAACCGCGGTAATAACCAGTCTGTTCCTTCCTCAGGTATTCCCAACCATATGCACGTGGGAACCGGGCCGCCACCGCAGTTTAACCGGATGGAGGAGATGGTAACGTGTGATCCCRGAGCGTGACTCGGGCTCTGCGGGGCACGGGCTCTAATTGTGCTGGGTTGGTGGTGATTACAGGCTGCTCACGCCTCAGCCTTTCCCTTGTGGGGGTGTTTGGGGGTGAGCCAGGGGAGGTTTGGGGGTCAGGGGTGTGGGGTGGGTGCCCCACAGCCCCACTGACCGCTGGACTCTCGCAGGCGGTGCCGGGGGGCCGCGTGAAGCGCTACTCATCGCAGCGGCAGAGACCCCCCGTGCCAGAGCCCGCGCCCCCCATGCACATCAGCATCATGGAAGGGCACTACTACGACCCACGTGAGTGTTTCYCTCCTGCTCCTGTGGCTCTGTGTGTGCCTGGAGCTGTGCAGTTGGAACAGGGATCCCTCCATTCCTGTCAGGGTCGGGACTTTGTCTTCTCTTTCCTTTGTTGTCCTTGTTGTTTCCTTTTCCCCCTTACAGTGTCTAAAATGCATCTTAAACACAAATTCTATGTATTTAAACCCATTGAATTATCCTCTGTGTTACCCCCTCTCTATGCCAGAACACCCCAAATTCTTCCTGAAAACTGGGATTTTAAATGAGCTTTAAATCAGGTCTTTGACGTTTGAGCATGGGTAGAACAGGACTGGGGATGGATTAGGAATTCCCTCCAGCATTTAAAGTGTTAGAGAAGAAATTCCCTGAGTATTTTCCTGCTTTGTAAAGCGAGTAGGAGGCATTTCTGTTGGGAGCATGTGGCATCTGTGAGCCTGGGAGCCTCTGTGTGCCGTGGGAGCCCTCGGGGCGTGCTGGGTTGTGTGTGCCCTGCTGCAGGGGAATGAAATTCCGTGGAGTTTTTCCTCACAGCCTGTCATGTGTTGTTGCAGTACAATTCCAGGGACCAATCTACACCCACGGTGAGAACCCAGCCCCGCTGCCGCCCCAAGGGATGATTGTGCAGCCAGAGATGCACCTCCCTCATCCAGGTGAGGAGCCAATGGGATACCCCTGGACCTGAAGGACAGAGAATGCTGTTCTCCCACAGCCTCTGTCATGGGGGGAATCCATTTTCCTTTGTTTCTACAACATGGAAGAGACCTGCTCCCTCCTGCAGTGAGCCTGAACCAGTATCAGTTTTAAGGRAAGAAAAAACAGGATTTTTTTTTGAGCTTCCAGCCAGTGCAGCATGGGGAACTGAACCTTTGGTAGCTCCCAGCTGGAAGTTTGCAGGTCTCTTTTGGGGCCTCACCAGGCTGGGCCGYCCTCTTCCGTGGGCACTGGGCTAGTTCCTCACTCCCTGACCCTGTAGCKCAGGGAAAAGCAGAACTGGGAGCTGTGGAACATGTTCTCTGCTTGCCCACACAAATTGTTTCCTGCAGTGGAGTTGTGATGGGGCCGTGTGTGGTTCCGGTGAATCCGGAACTGGGATGGGGGCCGTGCTCTGCTGCTCTGTGTCCCCTCCCCAGCGTGGGGCTGCAGGGAAGCCTTGGGGCAGAGCTGTTCCTTCCTGCTGCCCCCTCAGGACGCTCTGTTTTTTGGGGTGACATCCATCTACCTCCTGTCACCTGCAGGTTTACACCCCCACCAGACGCCCCCTGCCATGGCAAACCCCGGCCTCTACCCCCCACCAGTGTCCATGCCCCCAGGCCAGCCCCCGCCRCAGCAGCTGCTCACTCCGACTTACTTCTCCGCTCCTGGAGTGATGAATTTCGGGAATCCTGGCTACCCCTACCCCCCTGGAGCTCTGCCCCCTCCGCCCCCTCCTCATCTCTATTCCAACACGCAGGTAAGCCGGGTGCGCCACGCTCCTTCCCGGGCAGGAGCAGGTGGGGGAGGCTCTGGGGTGGGAGGCTGTGGGGTGGGAGGCTGTGGGGTGTGTTCTCTGAGCTGTTCCTGGGAGAGGTTGAGGAGAGACTGCTGCCATCCCAGAAAGGATTGTTCCCATGGCTGCTGTGCAGCTCCCTGAGCGCAGGGGTTAGTGGGTGAAATCCTGTCCTGGGGGGTCTGGAATTGAGGTKTGCCCTTATGGAGCAGGGAAACAGCCATGCAGGTCTCTGCTGAGCCAAGGATACCTTGGGAATGGCTTTGGAATGTTGTGCTGGAGATGGAGGCTGGGAACTGGCTGGCGTGAGCAGCACGGGGCTGGATTTTCCTGCTCTGCTGCCCAAATCCGCATCCAAGGTCGCTGGCGGGCACATTGGATTGGGTCCCTGAGGAGGCAGATCAGTTCAGATCCCTGGGAAGGCAGAGCAGAGCAGATCCTGTAAGRACATAGATCAGAGCAAACCAGATTYTTGTGAGGAGGCAGAGCAGATCCCTGGGCAGGCAGATTGGATCTCTGTAAGGATCAGACCAGATCTGATCCCTGTGAGGAGCCAGAGAGATCAAATCCCTGAGGAGGCAGGATCAGACCAGATCCTTGAAAAGGCAGATGAGACCAGAGCAGACCAGATCCCGGTGCTTGCAATGCTGCCGTGGCTGGAGCAGGGCTGACACACTGTGGAAGGCTGGAGAGCTGCACGTTCCCTGAGCTCCCAACCATCCCTGCCCTTCGCTCTGCTCYGGCTGATCCCGGCAGAACCTCACCTCCCTTTGAGGGCTGCAGGGCTGGGTGTGCAGGGGAGGTGTGAGGTGTGTCCGGGTGGAAAAGCTGCTCTTGGGGAAGTTGAGGCATTCCCTGGACTGCAGGCTGAGACAATCCCATCTGCATATTCTGTGTCCTGTCCCTGCCCGAGCRTGGGGACCTTGGCGAGGGGTGGGGACACACAGGAGCTGATCTCTGGGGGGCACAGCCCCTCTTGGCTCTGGCTGGGTGGTGCCAGGAGGGGCTCACAGGGCCCCCCAGCCCGGAGCTCTGATCCTGCTGCTCCTGCAGGCGCAGTCCCAGGTGTATGGGGGGGTCACCTACTACAACACTGTCCAGCAGCAGGTGCAGCCCAAGCCCTCCCCGCCCCGCCGGACGTCCCAGCCAGTGACCATCAAGCCGCCTCCTCCAGAGGTACCATCCCCTCACCGTCGGTCCCTGTGTGCGTGTGGTGCTACTGGTGTGTGTGTGAGGCTGCAGTTCCCCCTCCCATCCCAAAAAAAGTAATGTTGTTCTGGGGAAATCTTCAACTGTCTCGTCTCTGACCTATCCCAAACCTCAGCTTCTCGTTGCAGGTGGTAAGCAGGGCTCCAGTTAATTTGAGTTACTTAAATCTTTAAAACTAAAACCACGTAAAAAGTAAGTCTGAAGTTGACTCTTTTTTATTTTATTTGCTCAGGGTAGAAAACAGGATGATTTAGAGAGGGAAAATTCCAGCCCTAGCTGGAGGAGCTAGAAGGCAGGGAGTTCTCTGGAAGGATAAACGCTGAGAACTCAGTAGATAATTCAGGCAGCAGAGTTAAAGGTTTTCAGGATGTGAGTGCTTCCCCRTGCTGGGAATGGTCTCCTCGCTCCAGTGCTGTGAGCTGTGCGTGTGTGAGCGTGCTGGAATGCCACGTGTGTGTTTTTATTTTCCCTTTCCATACCTTCTTCCCGTATGGAAGCCAAGCAAGCCCAGACCCGGGCAGGCATGTGCCCGTGGGTTCCCATACACGGGGAGGGCTGGGAAGCAAATTGTCTGATGGAGGGGCCCTGGAAAGGCCTTGTGATGGAAGAATCTGGAACCATGAGGAGAGGTTGGCACAGGGGGCTGGTTGTGCCCAGAGGGGCAGAGGGTGGGGGTTTGGCACCCAGGTATGGGGGGGTTTGCTGGCAAGACCCAGCCATAGCACTGTTCCCCCCATGTGAAGGTTTAGGGGACCCTAAACTTCTGCTGCTCTTCCCTCTTCCCCCTCCCAGGACAGCAAAGGTGAAAAATCAAAGGAGAGGAGCAACACGTAGGGACACGGCCACAGGAATCCCAGCGCCAGACTCGGCACCTTGGCGAGGAGGAAGCTGCTCCTTGGAATGGCTCCTTCCCTGYGCGGAGGTGAGGCAGTGGGATGAGACACCTGCACCGTGCTCAGGGCAGGGCACTTCCCRAAATTCATCTCGCTGCTGCCCGGCCCCCTCCTCCCCCGCGCTGGGGCTGCCGAAGAACCAACCCCCGAGTCGGTCCTTGGCCACACGTTCTCCCAACTTCTCCCCGTTACTAAACGTTCCCTGCTCCCTCCTGGGATGTCAAACTCCGCTGGCTTGATCGTGGTCTCTTGTTTTTATTTAAGGAATGAAGCAGCTCCTTCAGTAAAGCTGATTTGTTTCTTTTGGGTATTTTGTATTTATTTGTTCGCAAACAAACAGCAGCCGTGACATCCCCCCCACCTCAGTTCATTGTTCATTTCAATTCTCTTTTCAATTAGCAACTTGATTTCTGCTACTTTTGAAGCAGGGGAAGGGCAATGGAGTCGTGGGAAGCTGTCAGGAATGTGCTGCCCGGGCAGGAACCACCTAATTTAGGAGCTCCTCCTCATTGTTTTTCCAACACACTGTTGGTAACCGGTGTGTGTAAGCTCTCAGGTGGGAATACACAGGGTGAGCCCTCTTCCTGCTGTCCCCACCAGCACAAAGGGACCTTTCAACCCTCCCTCTGACAAATCCACGGAGAGAGAGAGAGGTTTGTGGGCACCCAGCACCCCGACGCTGCCCGAGCAGCCCAGCCAGCACCCAAACCAGCTCGGCAGGGCCGGGTTTGCTCCCAGCACTTGGGTGTTGCTGCTGGAGCTGYGGAGGGTGTTGGAACCTGCCCCAACACACCAGGCTGGGCTCTGGCCCCACAAGGAAGCGCCTCATCCCTGCCACAGCTCCCTCCTCACTTCCCCACGGCAGCCCTGTGTCCCCGTTGGGGTGACTGTCACCTCACCTGTGCCGCAGTGCTGCCGCTCCACATCCCAGTGGCCCTGCTCCGGCTCCGGCTTGGCCACKTCCTCGCAGCCGTTTGCAAATTGCATTAGGAAACTTGGCAGGGCCTGCTGCCGATTCCTGCCCGTTCCTGCCGATTCCTGCTGCTCTCCTGAGCCCGTGCCGGGACGCCGTGGGGACGYGCCAGCTGCCGGCGCAGGCACCGGCCGAGGGGGACGTCACCAAGGCCACCCCATCCCCATCTGCGGCCGGGATGGGGCACCCACCTGCTCATTCTTCGTGTGGATCCATCATCCGTACCTGACTCTCCAACAGAAATTACTTCTTTCTGTGCTGTTTGCAACTCTGACCTTTTTTGTCTCATTTCAGCCACCAGAGCCACATTCCCAAAGCAGAACCCCCYTCGTGTTTTAGATGTCACTGTGTTTGTGCCTTAAGGCTGACGTGTCATTGACGTATTGGTCACAGGACTAAAATCCTGGACCTTACCCCCCATGCTGGGGTTTTGGCATTATTTGGGTTTCATCCTGTGGGTTGCACATCCCTAACGGCGTTGTAGGAAGCAGACAGCTCTTGTGTGTCCTTCCCACACCTGAGACCCGCAAGGACAGTGTCCACCTGAGCTTTCCTGGCAGGACCTGTGTCACCTGTCCTGTGTCCCAGGAGCTGCTCCTTCCCCAGGAGCCATTCTCCCCTTTCCAGGAGCCACTCTYCTGTTCCCGGGTGCAGCTCTGCCCTCCCCAGGAGCTCCCGGTGGGACTGGAATTACGGCTCCGCTGGCGCCAGCCGCCCTCGCCCCCACATCCCCTGGAAGTGGCTGCCACCCGTGCCCAGCCCGGCAGCGGGGCTGGAGGGAGCCCCCTCCTCTCTCTGGGGCTGGGGGCTGATGTGAGGCCCCTCCTCTCTCCAGCCTCGCTGGCTCACAGGGAAGGACCAACTGTTGTGTTGGTGGTGCGGGAGCTGCCGCCCGCGCSTTTGTGCCTCCGCCTCAGCAGCAGCAGCATCCTGGCAGCCCCCCGCCCACCTGCCCATGCCAAATTGGGATGGGGGGCACGTACCCCACTCCTGCTACACCCTGATTCTATGGATCAGGGCTCTCTCCTCCTGGAGCTGGGCTGGGTGGGGCAAGGATGCGGGTGTGACTGCCAGTGCCTCGGTGGGAGGGCGGCTTTGAGGGCGGGGGGGACCCCAACTCCTCCCTTTGCATCCCATCCTCTTTTCCTTCCTTCCCTTCAGGTCTCCCCARTTCCTACCCTCACTGCTAGCAGTGGGTGAGGGTCCCAAAGGCCATTTGACAGTGGGGTGGGGGTCCGAGAGCCCTTCSAACAGCAGCAGCAGCAGCAGGAGACATCACTTTCCTGCTGCTCCATCCCTCCCCAATGCCTCTGCCTCAGTTTCCCTCCCTGGCAGCATGATCAGGACTGAGCATGGTCCAGGATTTGTCTCAGCCCTTCTMAGGGACCTCACGGAGGAGCTGCCCCAATCTCTTGGGGGTTCTCCCCCAAATTCCCCGCTCCCCTCTCCCAGTGCTGCAGCTGGGAAGTGGGTTAAGGCGCTGGCTTGGGGAGGGATTTTTCCCGCGGTGTAATTTTTCCCTCCCACACACGGTCTGTTTTGAGCGGTGCCTGGAGGCTTCGCACCCCCGGCTCAGTGCCGGGGCGGGGGAATGCGCTGGCTGCCAACCGAGGGAAGCGCCCGCTCCGGATCCCAGCTCGTTAGGAGAAATAACAGCAAATTAATTAAGCCAATAGTTCGCTCTGCGCCGGCAGTGCCCCTGTCCCTTCCGAGCTGGGGAGAGGGGATGGGATGGGCTGGATTTAGGGCACCTTTCCTGGGGGAAATATTGACCTCAGCACTACACAGAGCTCCAGATCCCTCCTACCTGTGCAGCCCAGAGCATCCCCATTGCCACCAGCGAGTGGGGTCTCTCCGTGCCTCAGTYTCCCATCCTGCTGTCAGGAGAAATCCCCCTCTGTGTGGCTGAGCCCAGCCAGCAGCACCACTCACACACAGGTCCGGGGGAATGGATGCCCCGGGGAAAGGGGATGGAGGAGCTCACCAGAGTGGGRWTTTTRGGGGTGCTGGATGGGATGTGGGGGGTCTGAGCGCTGGAGGAGCAGAGGAGGGAGGTGCCGGGCCGTGCCGTGTTGCGCTGTGCCATCCCGCCACCGTGCAGCTGGGGATGGGGATGTGGGGACATGTTTTGCCGCTCTGTGGCAGCCGCACGGATGGAGTTGCCAGGCAACTGCCGGGTGGAGGCGAAGCGGGAACAAAGCGGGAGCTGCCGGGACCCTCGTTCCTCCATCCCCCCMGAACCCCCCGGGCACTGGGGCCCAGTAAAGGACATAGGGTCACCTACTGCGTCCCCCCGGCCGCTGCCACCATCCCACCCCGTGGGTTTGCAGGGGGGTGGATCCGGGAGAAGGGGAGTGGAAGGACACGGGGTCTGTCCCTCAGTTGTTTTCACCCGTTGGCGCGTCCAGAGGGTGCGAGGTGCGGCTGGGGGCAGTGGGCATGGGCAGGATGGGTGCTCAGCACCCCGCGGGTGCGGGGCAGGAGGCTCAGCCCCAGGCAAGCGCCACATCTCGCCCTGCCCTGCCCCAGAACCTGCCCCGGAACCTGCCCCGGCACCTGCCCCGGCACGCCGGGCCCCGTTCCGGCCTGGCAGGCAGCGGAGGGGGGGTCTGGCAGMCACCCCGACCTGCCCGCCCTGCCCGCGGGGCGACCCAGCCCCAGGGGTGCCAGGGTGGGGGGTCCCGCAGCCACCCCCGGCCCTTTCCCACGCTGCGGCGGGTGCAGAGAGCTGAGATGGGGGTCCGGGAGGGGTCACCCCACAGCTGGGGATGTGCCCCCCGTGCAGGGGGAGGGACAGCATGGAGGGGCGGTGTCGTGTGCCCCYGGGCTGGCATGGGGGAGCTGTGTAGGGGTGCGGAGGGACACCGGGCACGGGGGTGTGAGGCAGCAGGTGGCAGGGGGGTCTGTGCGGCTGTGCCCCCTGTCGCGGGATGTGACAGCCGGGGTGACAGGTTCTGGGGCTGTGTGTCCCCCCGGGCTGTACGGTGTGTTTTGGGGGGGCTGGCGCGTGGTCGCACCCCAGGGATCCGAGGGGGGATGCGGGGAGGTGGATGCGGGGGTGTGTAATGCAACACCTGCGTTACGGGGGGGTGGTGACCGTACCCCGGTGCGAGCCGGTGCCACCGCATCCCCGGGGCGGGTTCGGTGCCGAGAGCGGTGGTGCGGAGAGGGGGCGGGCAGGTGCCGTTGGT